AGTTAACTCCAGGTTTTAAGTGTCCCCCTTGAAGTTTTGAATGTCCCCTTGGGGACACTAAAAACCAGCATCATTCGAAAGCTAGTTTTTAATGCCCCCCCCCCCTTTATTTATGTATTAACTAATAATGCGTTTTATCATTAATAAATCATCGAGCACTACTCTGTCACGTTAAATATAGACCAAATATAACACAATTCACAAAATGTAAGTATATTATTGCTTTTATTTGCATAGACATCAAGTGAGCCTACATTAACCGTAATGACTCTGCATCACTGTCCTCTACTACTAATGAACATAGGTCACATTTTATTGCGTATATGTACTCCTAAATACAAGGGTCGTTCGAATAGTTTTGATGATCTTAAAAATGTTTGGTCAATTTGAAGCAAGTTGAAATTTAGTCTTGAAAAGTTTCGAAATTTGACCTTTTTTCAGTTTTTGATGTCTAATATCTCAAAACTGTCGCACAATTTTAATGGATAGTCAATAGCTTATATGTGTAAAACCTTTAGTGGAATATATATTCTGTCTTTCATCAAAAAATATTGATTTGTAATCATCAACTTTGATAAACTAAGAAAACACAGTTTGTGATTTAGTTTGATGACCTTAACATTTGACCTTGCAAAGGAGTGGTATCGATATGATGAACTTTTTGAACACGCGTTTCTCTTAAACCAGTCATCAAAACATTCTGAAAATTTTACACATCGTCCATTTAATGGTCATATTTTGGATGGTAACATTACAATTTGAATTATATATATGGACTTTTCTCTATATTGTTTTAGAAAAACACATCAGACACTTTTTTCGTTCTTGGTATCATATATTCGGAATGAAATGAAATATCTATCCGAACCTTATTGGAACAAAACGACATATAAACACAACGTGTTTAGCTCTCTCAATATTGCAATTGTACAAAGGAAAGTTTGGTTGATTTTAAATAAGTATCTTGTTAATGAAATGAAAGGTTTATCTTAATTTTTATCTATTTTAGGGGTTTTGTTTTAAGTTTTTGGATACTTTTTGTTAAATCAACCCAAATTTTCTTTGTATAACTATAATATTGAGAGGTCTAAGAAAATGTTGTTTATGCTATTTTGTTCCAACAAGGTTCGGAAAGACATTTTATTTCATTCTCAAGAATTCGTAAAAAGGAACAAAAAAACAATTACATAAAAAAATGTTAACAAAAACAGTTATATAAAATATATATACATTATTTTTGCATTAAATTGTTGCCAATCAGTCAACATTACATAAAGGACCGTGTTTTTTACAGAGTGTTTCCTATAAATGGTTTAAGAGAAAAACATTGTTGAATTCAGTTCACCATATCGATACTTATCCTTTGACTTTCTTAGACATCAGTGGGTCTTTTTGTGATTAAATAAACCTAAATTTGAACCCAGAAGGTCAAAAGAAAGATCAGATTTGAGTTCCCGGGTTTTGTAGATGATTTTTAAAAATAAATTGGTCAATTTGAAGCAATATGACCAATTTTTTTTTCGTCAATTATCTCAAAAACGGTAAAAATTTAACGCAAACATATAGTAAGCAATTTGTAGAGAATGCTTATCTAGTTACATTTTAATTCATTGCAAGAAATAATCATGAAATATTAAGACGAAATCTGAGAAACTTAAAAAACTCTGATTTGACCTAGATTTGGCCTTTGACCTTGACCTAGATAAAAATTCCTTCCCTGCCAAGTGCAGCTCAGGTCCTTAGTAGAAGCATATATGAGTTATCTCAGACCTAGCTAGAAGTAGGAGAAAAGTGGTTAGGAGGAATAAATAAAAAAATAAATAAATAATATCTATAAAAACTGGTGGTATCCTTTGAAAATGAAAAAAATGGGCACCAATAATAATAGGCTACAATATGGAATATTACAATATAACATACGATACAATATAAACGGTGCAGACGGTTAATATATTTACACATGATATATCAATGCAGGATTCGAACCTGGAACCTAATAAATACAAACACAATTAATACACATTATGCCAACGCTTATACCGTTACGCTACAGTGGGAGAGATGCCGATATCCGATTTCGACTACACTATAACTTGGATCCTAGTAACTACAAGTATTAAATCCTATCAACGGGGGACATCACAATCTGTTACTGGTGTGACAGATCTGAGAGTCTCCCCAGTTATAAATGTCTCCCCATTTTACCCTTGTTAATATAGGAAATAAAACCTGGTTTTCAATGTCCTCCAATGGACAGCCAACCCTAGGGATCGGGGTCCTACGGACCCCGATCCCTAGGGTTGGCTGTCCCACGGACACTGACCACCGGGGGACACTTAAATCTGTTACACCGGGTTTGTATTTTACTTCAAGTTGGTATTTCTGAACACGAAGTAACATGCGTTGCAATCTTTGCGGAGCTAAGTACAATGGCTTTTTGAAAATACTTTCCAAAGGTTTGTGATCACTCTCTACTTTGACCAAATTTTGACCATATAAATAGTCATGCCATTTCTCACATGCGACAACGATTGCATACATCTCCTTCTCTATCTGGGCATAATTCTGTTGCGTTTTTGTCAAAGCTCGCGATGTATAAGCTACAGGGTGTCCATCTTGATATAAATAACCACCTACTGCCTTGGCGGAGGCATCTACTGATATGGTTACAGGTTTTTTTACATCAAAATAGCTCAAAATTGGCGCTTGGCTAAGGATTTGTTTGAGTTCTTCATACGCTTTGTCTTGTTCTGGACCCCAATGCCATTCTACATCTTTCTCTAACAGTACACGAATCGGTTGCGCTACTTTGGATAATCCAGGCACAAATTTACCTAGATAATTGACACTTCCCATAAATCTATACACACCATGAATATCTGTGGGAGGGGGCATATTTCTAATACCTTCTACTTTCTTTGGGCAAGGTTTGATACCTTCACTAGTAAGTACGTGATGAAACTTCATTCTTGTTAAAGTGACATTTTTCACGATTGAGTT